AGTAGTTGGCGCGGCCCCAAAAAACAAGGGAACGGAGGGAGGAGGGGAGGGGCAAAGGGCAGGGAGAAGGATGGAGCACGAAAGAAATTAGCAGGACGGGGTTCAGAGCAGGAGCTCAAGCGGCAGGACCACACGGGCGGGCCGGCAGGGCGGACTCTAACGGGCGGGTCGGGCGGGTGGGCCAAGACGGCTGGGTCAAGCGGGCGGGTCGCTGAAGCATCAGTCCTGTATGCCTCACGAAGAACTCTCGAGCGACAGCACGATTCCCAAGAGAATCATCAGGAAATTCAAAGCGGGAGCGTGATTCCTGAGTGTCGAGATCGCGGCGTCGATTTTCCCCGGCGCCGTCGCCGCCTCGGCCAGCGCGGGCGCATTCTCGAATGGCCGCGTCGCGCGGCCGTTGGGACAACCCCGCGGGCCAGGCCATTGGGGCAACCGCGCGAACCGCTGGGGCGCGGGAGCAAGCCGTTGGGACAGCCCCGCAGGCACCGAACTAGTCACGGCAGCGCTCAGGCGGGAGGCAGCACAAAGCCAAGCTCTGCGGAAAGCCCATTCGGCCGAGGATGGGTTACCAACCCCGGCCCGGACGCAAGGGTTCTCCCCGCGCCCGATTCGGCTGACGATGGGTTACCACCGCCAGCCCGGAGACAAGGGTTTCCCCCTGCCCCCGATTCGGCTGGCGATGGGTTACCACCGCCAGCCCGGAGACAAGGGTTTCCCCCTGCCCCCGACTCGGCTGGCGATGGGTTACCACCGCCAGCCCGGAGACAAGGGTTTCCCCCTGCCCCCGCTTCGGCCGAGGATGGGTTACCACCCCGGCCTGGACGCAAGGGTTTCCCCTTCGCCCGGCCGCCGTCGTCGTCCTCACTTCCTGTTCCTCCTCTTCCTCCTCACCTGATGGGTCGGGCGAATCGCCCTCTAAAGAGCGCATAGGGAGGGGGCTCCCGCCTCGGGAGCCCCAAAGTGACGACACTTACAGGGTTGAGGATGACCCGCTCGGATTAAAAACATGAAGTGCGGGCCACATAGGGAGGGGGCTTCCACCTGAGACTTCCTCGCAGTTCACTCACAGACGAGGCTCCCGCCTGATACTTCCTCCATATTCAGGCCTCGGGAGCACCAAAGTGACGACAATTACAGATTCGAAGATGACCCGCTCGGATTAAAAGCATGAAGTGCGGGCCCCACAGGGAGGGGGCTCCCGCCTGAGACTTCCTCGCAGTTCACTCACGCACGAGGCTCCCCGCCTGATACTTCCTCCATATTCAGGCCTCGGGAGCCCAAAAATAACGACAGTTGCAAGGTTGAGGATGACCCGCTCGGATTAAATCATGAAATGCGGGCCCCATTGGGAGGGGGCTCCCGCCTGAGACTTCCTCGCAGTGCACTCACAGACGAGGCGGGCCTCGGGAGCCCCAAAGTGACGACAGTTACAGATTCGAGGATGACCCGCTCGGATTAAAAGCATGAAGTGCGGGCCCCACAGGGAGGGAGCTCCCGCCTGCGACTTCCTCGCAGTTCACTCACACACGAGGCTTCCCGCGTGATACTTCCTCCATATTCAGGCCTCGGGAGCCCCAAAGTGACGAGACTAAAAGCGTGAAGTGCGGGCCCCATAGGGAGGGGGCTCCCGCCTGAGACTTCCTCGCAATTCGCTCCCGCCGGATAATTCCCCCATACTCAAGCTAGCGAATGAGTGGGTGAGTGAGTGAGTGAATGACTGAATGAGTGATGATGATGATGATGATGATGAGGATCATGCAGATGATGAGTGAGTGGGTGAGTGAGTGTGTGATCGAGTGATGGTCAAGATGGTGTGTGTGTGTGTGATCAAGATGGTCTGTGTGTGAGTGAATGTGAGTGTGAGTGAGTGTGTGCTCCTATGTGTTCCTGCGCGGGGTGTCCAGAGAGAACAAGAACCCCACTTTGGATGCGGGGAAAAACACAATGTGCACCGGCGGGGGGGTCAACAATGATTAGTCTTGAGAAATAAGGACTCAGCAAAAAAACGCACACACACACACACACTCTCTCACACACACGCACACACACACGCACACACACACACACATACACACACACACACACACACGCGCGCGCACACGCGCACACACATACACACAAACACTAACGCACACACGCGCAGGCCCTGACAATCACGGGTGCATGTACACAAAACGGACAACACACACGCGCGCGCAATTGCGCACACGCGCATAGCGTACACTTGAACGCATGCGCACGCAAGCGCGCTCTCGAGACCAATGGACAATATACGCATTTCTGCCAGATCCTGCCAGATCCTGCCAAACCCTGCATTTCTGCCAGATCCAGATCGGCAAAAGCAAAACAAATAAGGAACATTGCGCAAATCACTCGTCGATGACTCGCGCCAGTTATCTTAGCAACGATGGTGAAACAATATATCAGCAGGTCCCTATCATTGATTCTCCATGTGTGTATATCTATATACATCCCTCTCTCGCTTCCCTGCCTCATTCCCCCGCTTCCGACCCCCCCCGCAGCCTACGATGCGGTGATAGTGCTTACCACATTTGGAGGTGGACAGACTAGCGCAGATTCTACAACGAAAATGCCTCCGTCGGGAGGGTAAGGACTCCAGCAGGCCTCATCCCCCCACTGTTATCGCTGCACAGACTCGTGGCTGTGATACTCTTGTTCACTGGCCCCGGGCGGCGCGAGGAGACGGGCCGCTCGGAAGCCAGGCGCTCTGCAGAGTGAGCCCGCAGATAGAGACTATTTACAGGTGGCCGCTTCGTGAGAGATCGAGGCCGAACATCTGCCCAAGTAAGAATGCGACAAGCAACTGAATTGGAAGTTAATCCAAAGAAACCCGCCGCAAGAAGCACAGCCCTGAAATCCGCCGAATCTTCTTTGTTCAGCGTTGGGGTTCTCGCATTTCAGCTTCAAACGAAGAAACACAGGGTACCCTGACCAAGGCGGATTCTTGATCGCTTGCGTAGGGCAATTGGACATCCAGAAGCCGAAAACACCGACGCCCAAGAAACCCAGGATGACCTGACATCCGCAGTCTGTTAGAGATTGCTGCAACCTTCCACGCCGAGCGCAGGCCGAAAAAACTGAAGGCAGCCTGACGAACAAGAGGGTGTCTCTTGTTATGCGGCGGTCCGACTGCACGACTCCGCCAGCCCTCCGCCTGGCAGGGGTGAGACGGCGTATGAGGTACTGGTACCCTCGGGGGCGGCCACAAGGGGGGTGTCCAAGAGGGAGGGGGGGGGGGGGGGGCAAATCATGGCCGGCGGCATGTGCGCGGCCCAGGGGGAGGCCAGGGACGTCATGAAATAAGAAGAGGCGCCATGAAGTCTGGGGAAATATCGCGGCCCACGCCAGGATATCCCCCCCCCCCCCAGTCATCACCCCCCTCCTGGCCGCCCCCGATACTAGGGAGCCCACAAAGGACGTACGCGCCCAGCTATGTACATGAACACGGCCCCTCGATCCGCGAGACTGCCCGCGTTATACGAACATTTGCGCAATGCGTACTCTCGAAACCAGCGTGGATTCATGTACATGTGCGCCCTTCCTTCGCTCCTGAGATACCCAGGAGAGCCCAGAGGCGAATCGAGAAGCCGGATCGGCGATCGACGTGCATCGGATCGGCGGAGATCGGCGGCCGAGCCGGGAGAAGCCGCACCGGCGGAGACCGGCAGAGCAGCCGGGCCCCCTCCGAGGAGGCGGGGGCCGCAGCGGAAGCCGCAGCCCAGGGGAATCGGACAGGGCTGGACCGGAACGCTGTTGCTCGCTCTGGCTTCGTTTTGTTGTTCGTTTCGCTCTACCCGTTGTCTTGTATCCCCCTGCCGAAACAAAAAAAACAGAAAACAAAAAAAACAAAAAAAGCATTTTAAAAACATATATGTACATATATATATATATAAACAACAACAACAACAACAACAACAACAACAACAACAACAACAACAACAACAACAACAACAACAACAACAGCAGCAGCAGCAGCAGCAGCAGCAGCAACAACAACAACAACAACAACCACAAAAAAACAAAAAAAAAAAAAAAAAAAAAAAAACGCTCGGGTCCAGCCCCGGAATGGGAAGCGGAAGCCATCGAAAACGAGTCGAATCGGCTCGGAGGAACCGGAAGGAGCTCCGGGTGCATGGCGGGTCCCTTCCCCCTTCGGGGGCCCAAGCTCGGTTTCGACGGCGAACTGGCCACGGCATTAGTGGCCGGTGTTGGCGGTGACGCGGACACCACCGTCTCGGACTTCGTGGCCATCCCGGAGCGGCGCTTGATCGAGGTGCTCAGCCAGCTCGAGATCGAGGGCGTGCCTGCATCCCCCATCGCTCACGGCGTGCCCGCGTCCCGTGCCTGGAGGTCGGGCCGGCGGCGGGGGGGGGCAACGAGCTCCGCGGCACGTCTCCCACGCCCTCCGAGCCTCTGGGTCTGGCGGTGGACAAACCTCCCTTTTTTGTAAACCACCCTTTTTAGTGAAGACGGCCTGGGACCGAGACAAACGGACCCGGACCCGCAAAATGGCGGCCGTGGAGCCCTCTCGCAAATCGAGGACGGCCAATTCACCCATCGACGTGGCAGGGCAGGAGGTCGTATCAACCTCCGACAGATCCGCTCGGACGCAACCGGAACGCCCCAGACGCTAGCTCCGTGCTCGTGCGGACAGGTGGCCAGGTGGCCGCTGGATTGCGCACAGGGGGGCTGGATGAGCCAGACACTGTACACTTGTGGATGCCACGACAATGGACACCCTAAACAGTCCGATCGTTGAATTTGAACTGTGTCTAACATGTAGGAAACAAGTTCTGAACATGTTGAAAGCATGTTTGAAACATGTTTAACACATGTGTTAAACATCTGGAAACTATTTGGCAACATGTTTCCTCTCCATGGATCGTCCTCCACAACACTAACTGCACGTGCCCGCCGCGGCTGGGCGGCGCAGACCAGCGGGGCGGAATGGAGGCGCAACGATAGAGGGGGGGCTGGCCAGGGGCAGTTTGAAGGGGGCCGGTAGGCCCGTCCAGAGGCTACGGACTAGGCCAAGCACAGCTCCTGCTCTGTTGTATCGTAGCAACGATAGTCCTAGTCGAAGGAGGTCGTCGCGGGAGCGACGGGCCATCACAAGCGAAGGGTGTTTTCGGTCTCGATGGCGAATCGTATGCCTCGCAATGAGGCGCAGTCAAATGTTGGCGGCCGGCTGCTTGATCACAAACGGCCGCGGGCAAACGCTCGCTATCTCTCGCCATGTCCCAGCTCACTTTAGAGTCGGGGGGGAAGGGGGGCGAAGCGTGAGTCCGCCGCCACTATACAGCATATACACCAGGTACGATGCACAAAAGGCAGCAAAGGGCGGGGCCGCAAGGAAGGCGGACCCGCAAGCAAGTTACATTGCAAGCAAACTGCTGTGCATGCGATTACTCCTCAGGCGGCCACATACCAAATTGTCTGGCCAGCCCGATAAGGAGCATGACGCTTTAAGTCATGCTTGAATGATCGCGTACCTCCCATGACCTGTAAGAGCATATGTCTATCAATGCTCCCCGTTGTGTGACCATCCACGGTCATGTCGCGAGTGTCACACCACAGAATACTATGCACAATTCCTCGCTCCATCATCTGTCGTATCCAACTGATGTGTCCTAAAAGAATACACTCAATCGGCTTCTTCAAGTCTGTGCCTGACAAGGACTTGAAACCATATTCCGCATATATGGCCAAGGTGACCTTAATGCTCAGGCCACCCAAATCCAGTATGTATTTCAACTGAGCGGGGGTCAACGGATCGCCCGTTGGAGTCATCGATTGATAGGCGATCTTCTTAGGGCAGGCCTGCAACTTCCTGGTGATCGCGTTCAGTCGTCGCACTTGTATATCGGTCGGTTCTTGGACACGTTATAGAGAGACTACATATGCCATCAACCACACTTGGGTGATCAATGCGTAAGGCAATGCGCCTCTGAGGCTGACGAACATGTCCGCAACCATCTTGCATGCCTCGGCGCCAGCGCCGGCGCCGGTGAGTTCGGGATGTTGTATAGGACGGAGCTGCTTGATGTATTCATCTTGGCCCAGTGTGACGTTGCCGTCCATCCTTTGTGCACCTCGCAGCACAATTGGTACATGTATGTACGTTGAGTTTGCACGTGCCAAAAGTGTCCTCGACGCACTTGCCGCACTTGTCAATGGTGTCCTCAGTAAAGGCCACAATGACATCATCAACATGTCTGGCTGTGAGCAGGTCACTGCTCGTCTCGAACTCCTCGTCGTAGGACGCGGGTCTGAGACCAGAGCCTCTCGTGGTCCATCTGAGCTTCAGTGAGAAAGCTCTGGGTGCATCCTTGGTGCCGGCGCATGGCTCGAGGCGCCGCAGGCAGTGCTTCGACTCGTCGTAGTGCTCGAATCCAGGGAGGGATCGACGCACCGTTGCCGATCCAGGCGGCGCGGTAAAGCGCGCCACGCGCTCCTCCTCACCAAGTGCCTCAGCAAGTTCCTGGTAGGTTAATCCTTCCAGGAAAGCCACGTCGATGTCAAGGGAAGCAATGATCCATTTTTTGCACGCCGCTGTTCTTGCGAGTAATCTCTGGCTCGGCCGCCGCGTCGCCCCCGAGATGGTTTCCACGTCAAAAGCTTCGAGGTCCATGAAACCCCGAAGCACCGGGCGGAGTCTGACGGCACGCCCCATCTCGCCCTTTTCTTTCTTCACGAACTTCCCTGTATACACGCGCCGCGAAGTCCGGATGCTTGACGCTTTTTTATATATACATATATATATATATATATAGATATGCTGCATAGTGAAACACTTGTTGCCAAACCATGTCTTGAGTCCAGTGCATAGGGCCTTTGATACTTTCTCGGGATTCGCCTGGACGTCGGCCTCCGCGAGGAGGTCGTCTTCCTTGTCGACCGCAGCTCGGTTTCCAGCGGCGCCGACATATACTCGAACGGCGGTTCCACGGTCGGCATATGATATCCTGCGCCGCTGCTCGGATAGGACTACCCTTGACATTTCTGCCGCGGAGCAGAATACTACAGATCGACCATTTTCGTCCGAGTCCAATCCGTAACAGTGGTCTTCTTAGCGAATAGTGGGACATGATACGTCTCCTCGACATCGGAGTCGCGTGGATATCCCCACTTAGGCAGGTGCCCCCGCTGTTCTTCAGCTGCTGTTACCAGCACACTGGCATCGGCGATCACATGTGCGAGTACAGTGCAGACAAAGGTCATACAATGGAGTTGCCTCTAATAGCTCCCTTTCCCCATGTAGTTCTGCGCACCACACTTCCATAATATATGCCTCTAGGTCCGCTTCTGATTCCTCATATATCGTAGGAAGCCGCCCATCCTCCTGTGGTGGTTTGGCGTCTGGGGCTTCTCTGGCGTTGTCGCCTTGTGTCGGTGTGTCCACCAGTTCCTTCAACTTTGTCATATCTTGGTCAAAACGCTTGAGGTTTAGTAGACTTTAGGCACTGGATGATTCTGGAATGTGCTGATCCAGTTATATCATGAATATTCAGGGCAGCGCCTTCTGCTTCACGGTAATGGAAGCCCGGATTTACATCATGGTCATAATGGACCGATGTGCAACTGTCAGAGCCACCCTAACAGAGACTACATTCTCGACACGGGGGAAGTTTCTGATAATGTATTGCAGCGACAGATGTACCTTGAAGTTAATCGGCTTACACTGGTCATCTGAAGCATTCCCTTGTCGGCCGGGACATAGCCAAATGCAATAGCAGGTCTCCCCGCAGGTACATTCGCAACAGATGTCAACACTGTCCGCAACGCAGTGCTGTCAGAGCCGATTTCTCTGGCTATCAAAGCTTCGGTGTAAAGTGAATGTCGTGCATCGCCATATTGGACTTGTACATCGCGGCTTCCCGCTCGAATGATGACTTGACCCCTGTCGGGATCATTTCGTGCACCTGGGAACGGGCCAGTCCAGTCTCCCCTTGTCGTCCTTCGTAATTGTGGGACGATGAAAATCAACCAAATCTCCATCATCCAAATAATGCTGACCGGTGATAGTTGTCTTAGAACGTCGTGCACGATTGGTCTTGGCTACTGCAATAAACTGTGCGATAGCTTCAATGCGTACCCTGCGCATCACATGTTCCCGAGAGTGGTCAGACGCTTCTGT